TCCCCGACGCATCTGGTAGGGCCCCTGAGAGGGCCCCTGGGAGCGCCGCCGCCCCTAGGAGGGCCCCTTCAGTCGCCGCTGCTCTTGGGAAGGTCCCTGGGTTCGCCGACGCCATTGGGATATCACCTGGGGTCGCCACCGCCTCTGGGAGGGCCCCTGGGGTCGCCGCCGCCACTAGGAGGGCCCCTGTAGTCGCCGCTGCCCTTGGGAAGGTCCCTGGGTTCGCCGACGCCATTGGGATATCACCTGGGGTCGCCACTGCCTCTGGGAGGGCCCCTGGGGTCACCGAAGCTCCTGTGATGGCCCGTGTGGGCACCGTTGCCTCTGGGAGGGCCCCTTGGGTGACTGCCGCCTCTGAGAGTGCCCCTGGGGTAGCCAACGCCCCTGAGGCGGCCCCATGGGGCGCTGCCGCTCCTGAAAGGACCCCTGGAGGCACTACCGCCCCCCCAAAAAACCCTAGGGGTGACTCTGCCACTGGGAAGGCTCCTAGGGTCTCCAACGCCCCTGAGACGACCCCTGGAGTTTCCGAAGCCTTTGACAGGACCCCTGTGGGAGCCGCCAGCTCCTGGGAGGGCCGCTGAGGTCTCCGGTGCTCCTAGCAGGGCCCGTAGAGGCGCCGCTGCCCCTAGGAGAGCCCCTGAAGCCGCTGTTTTTGGTTGGTCCTTTGGGGACGTCCCTGCCCCAAGGAGGGACCCTGCAAGTGGCCCCTGGGATCTTTGCTTCCCCTGGGAAGGTTCCTTTGATCGTCGACGTCCATGAAGGGGCCCCTGGGGTCTCTGCAGCCTCTGCGAGGGTGCCTGAGGTCGATGCTACTCTTTGAAAGGCCCCTGGGTTCGTTGACGCCATTGGGATAGCCTCTGGGGTCACCACTACCTATGGGAGGACCCCGGTGTCACCGAAGCCCCTGGCATAGCCCCTGGGGGAGCTGTCTCTGGTCGGGCATTTGGGAGGGTCCCAGGCAGAGCTGCCACTGTAGGGCTGCTGGGGGCAGTTGTTTTTGCATTATTTAGAACGATGCAAATAAATATACCTCCTATCGCGTTTCCATTATCATTGCATCATGAACAATGTAAAGGAGAATGAATATCCAACAGGAAAACATAAGTTGGGGTGTTGTGCTGACTGACTGCTCTGTTCTCCTATTGGCTGTAATTTGATGGATTCACACTTGAGTTAACCAATCACAGATAAGTAAGGGATTGCTGGACGTATGCAATATGTACAACAGCACGACCTTGCAATCTATAGGGCTTTTGGGAGGAGGCGCCTGTAGTAAGGCCCCTGTGGGCACCGCTGCCTCTGGGAGGGTCCCTTGGGTAGCCGACGCCCCTAAGACGGGTGGTGTTTGGAGTGTGTGTGGAGTGCAAGGTTGGTGTAGGAGGGGTGTGTGAACCATTAAGGGAGTGTGTAGAGTGTTAGAGGGATGTGTGGAGACAAAGGGTGGTGAAGGAGGGGAGTGTGTAGAGTGTTAGAGGAAAGCGTGGAGTGCTAAGGGTGGAGTAGGAGGGGTGTGTGGAGTGTTAGGAGAATGTGTAGCGTGTTAAGAGGGATGTGTGGAGTGTAAGGGTGGTGTAGGAGGGGAGACAGAAACTATAAAAATAAGAATGAAAAATAGACTTTTCTGACAGATTTTTTCTCAAGTGGACATGAGAAAAGGTATTTAGTCACGGTAGCGGAGAAAAAACTCCTCTGGTTATTTCATATGCCTGAGGAAGTTCAGTTTAAACCACAAAAGAAAATCTGCTTTGTTTTCCATTATCTTTTAAGTTATTTTCAGAACTCATAAACGAAAAAAATTCAATGCAAAGGCAATTCTACTTAAGAGTGATTTCAATGAATAGATATTTATAAAAAGGACATTAATCTTGTTTTGTTTGAGATTAATGAAACATATCGACATACAGAAAACGGTGATCAATGGAACAATAAACAGGTTTAGAGAATATTACTTTTTTCGGTGATACGAAAAAATTCTCGGCATTATATAGGAAAGGGAAAACAAAATTGGTTAGGTTCAAGTGTTATGAATTTTGAACACAGATTGATAGTGCTCAACTGTTGGGAACTTTTTAGTAGCGCTAATGTTCTTCACCGAAGTAAATCTCGCTATGGTTTATATTAGAGAAGCTATATTTTGTTCATATAAAATTTAAAGGAATTTATGCCATTAATGATAAACGCACCGCCGAGAAATACTGTAATCTGGATCAGAAGACCCGTTATCATCGTTCTTTATAAACAGACGTGTGTAAAACAGGCAAGTCACCAGCTTCTTAAGGCTAAGGCATTGTTCCCCACCCCTGATCTTCTCAAGGGTCGCTCTTGTCATCGGGGAGGGACGGGTTTTATTTGAAATTCCATTATGTTACACTACTTGTAAGACCTTCCATGATATCTATTAATATTGGTTGCTTATATCTGAAGCAATTATTGGCATTAGCGATTTATTTTCCCAATTAAAAACAATTAATGTCGATACATTTGCATTGACGAAATAATGAATATGACACCAAAGCCACACGCATACCTGTATATATATATATATATATATATATATAAATATATATATATATATATATATATATATATATATATATATATATATATATATATATATATATATATATATATATATATATATATGATTGAGTTTGGGAATTTGTGGACGTGCTTCGTATTTTTGGGTACTGTACATATAACCTTCTCAAGTATTTACCACACACACATTCACACATTCGCAAAACTAATGTTTCCTTGGCCTCGTACGTGCCTCAATATTTACCTTAAAATCTCAAAACAATTATAATCCTTAAAATATTGCCTACGGTCTACCTCAAAATGCACACAATAAAATGTTGGCTAGTTTGAGAAGACAAATATCTCCAAAATATAAATGCCACTTTCGTTGAAACTTTAGCGCCAGGTTCAAACAGGGAAAAACTCTTAATACATCTATGAGAAAGGTAGGTTAATGTAGCCATTATTATTATTATTATTATTATTATTATTATTATTATTATTATTATTATTATTATTATTATTATTATTATTATTATTATTATTATTATTATTATTATTATTATTATTATTATTATTATTATTATTATTATTATTGTGCAGACAGAGACAGAAACTATAAAAAGAAGAATGAAAAAATAGACTTTTCTGCCAGATTTTTTTACTCATACTTTGTCTACCTATATATCTATCATTTTGTCTATGGAATGTGAAATAGAGCTGAGAAACAAACAGATAGAGAGAGAATGAGAGAGACAGACAGACAAACAGACAGAGGTAGATGGAAGCAGACAGTCAAATAAATAATGACCAGCGAGTGGAAAATATGTAACACCAAGATTGTCTTTGAGTGTGGAAATAGACAATGAGAGTTAACACGAGTAAATGAGGCTGAGAGAGTTCTGATATCAAACTCTGGTAAAAGAGAGAGTAATGAAAGTATTGAACAAGTATGAAATAACAGTAGACCTATACATGACTAATGAATATGTTGAAGAAATGACACGAATAAAGATAATAATAAAGTATTTGAAGAAAGAGCAACAAGTAAAATAAAATAAAAGAGAAAGATAAGATTAATAAAATAAAATTTGAGATACAGATGATGAAAAGGGCAAAAATAATCAAGAAATTGATGAAATAAAGCAATACTGTAAAAACATTATGAACGTTAAAGAAATTAACAAAACAATAGGAAAGGAATTTAGAAATCACGCCAAAAATTAAAAAATAGAGAAAGAGAATGAGGAAAATGATACTGAAATAAATAACGGAAGATAAACTTAAGAATAATAGAATTAGGAAGAAACGTAAAAAAAATTAAGGATTCACTATGAATGATTACAGAAATCACCTTCTTAAAATGACACGGAGAAACTAATGATATGAGTCGAGAAGGAATAAAATAAGAGAAGTAAAAAAAATGAAAACATTTAAAAAAAAGAACCGGAAAAAACAGAAAAGATAATGATATGAAGAAACTAAGAATGGTTTTAAATCTCACTTAACTAAAGAGAAAAATAATCCTGTATTGTTGGTTTACTGAGTTACAAACAAAATCTAAAGAAAAACTTGCCGAAACATGGAATCGAACTTGTTATAATTAATTGGCTTACTTGATATAAAGGGACAAAATTAATTGTCTGTCAAAAATTGTCGAATTTACCGATGAGAACTTGGTTACTTATGCTAAGAAAGGCAGAAGTTGCCAGTCTCGCTGCGGTTATCTGACCAACGTAAACCACTTAACCTAAATATATTTGAAGTTATATTTAGACAATAAATAAATAAGCTCTATCTAAATATTGTATACCTGCTGTGAAAAATAATCTCATTAAGGGGCATAATTAACCGAAGACATTAAAAATTGTAGACTAAATGTCACTAAATCTGCACCAAGACTCAACCGCAAGTAGATCATGATGTGGTCTCTCGGCTTTATGAATAGCCGACCTACCTGACTAACTGACTGAGGGACTGAGAGAACTTACTGACGAAGATGTTTAAGTGCATCATACAGCTCTATGAATAATCATCATCATTACTGACTTACTTATTCACACATTGAGTTACAGAACATTTGAAGACCGACTGTGTGAACAGTTATCCTGATTGACGTAATGCTATAAAGGCCGCAATAACGCACCTTACTACTACTCTATTGCAAAGTTGTCTTCAAGCTTTTAGGCCTAGGTGTGTGTCCAAAAGATTGTTTTCGGTATTTGTTCCCCTATAATTTATAGTCTCCAATTTCAATATCATCTTGAACATCCTATTCCTGTTACCATTATAGTCTCGTCGTAAATATGATGCTGTATAGGGTGGAATAATTTTATGTATGAGACGTCTCTGCACCTTCAATCACGGTGAAAATCTCGGCCAAGGAAAATGCTTCTCTCGAGACGGAAGGGAACGCGTCAGCCACGACCCTGAAAGCCCGCTGACTCCCACATACCGTATATAAGGGGGTGAGTCCTTCCTGAAGTTACATTCCCTCATTGAACACGGTGAGTGATCTGGTGCTCTCCCAGCTGCGTGCTGTCAGTAGTAATGATGGCTGGCTTGCAGTGGTGATAATTGAATAGCTTGGGTATTACTGGTAGTGTCGGTGAATGGGTAATAATAGAGGTGGTGCTGAGTTATTAATAAATGTTCACAATACGTAACTTTGCCACCGTCATCATTACCTTCAGGGGCGCTAATATAACGTCTGTGTTCCAGATGAAGGCACTGTTGATTTTCGCCTTGGTGTCAGTGGCGACGGCCCAGCAATACGGCTCCTACGGAGGTGGAGGACAGGTGAGTAGAAAAAAATAATCTAGAAACACTAATTGACTCACATTAAACTTTTTATTGTGCCTGAAAATATGATGATGCTCTTCACCACCAGGTTGATTAACTCACTGTTATGAAATTTATCCACCGTCCCCTTCCCGCGCCGTACACTCTTCAGTAATTTGGGTTGGGACCAACTTTGAGCAGCCTTTTTGACGTATAATAACTATATACTTGCGCTGGCCCAACATAGTAATAACTTCATTCTGATGACTGAACCAGGTGGATTTGTCGCTGCACAACAGCGACTACCACTTCTCATGGCGTCACGACGGAGGCAAGAAGTATGACTGGTATTCCGCTAACAAATACTGCGCTAACCTGGGCCCCGGCTGGTTTGGTGTCAGTATCGAGACTCACGAAGAGGACAAGTATATCTCCCAGATCATCGCCGGAGGTCAGTGAAGACCCATCCATTTTCTTGTGGGATGACTTATTTTTGCTGTATAGTACGACTAGTTTTTCATTAGCATAGTCTAAGAGCAGACTTACACCCCGAACATCATATATGGTTATCAGTAAGAGATTAGAGATTGTGCCTTTTGGTTAGCTTAATTAGTGTTGACTCACACCCTTTGGTACATTTCAGTGTTGCAAGTTATATTTATTTTTAATTTATTTGAGTAATGGTGCGATTTACTTCTCCTCACTACAGACTACCTAGAGTACATCTGGACAGGAGGTTACCGCAAAGGCTATGACTTCTCCTGGCCTTCTGGTTATCCATTCAGCGGCCTCAACTGGTCCCACACCGGAGCGTGAGTCTACCTATTGTGTTCTACTACATTTTATTATGGACGCCACACTTCTATATTGGCCTCCATCCATTTTATTATGGCAAAACATCTTTCTATTATTGCCTTCAGCCTTCTATTGCGTTTTTGTGTCCTCTTCTTCCCGTTTTCAGCTTCTTCATCTCTAATTACCTATTGAAGCTTATGTTGACAGACAATAGTGTCCATTTTGTTTAATAATTAACACCCATGCAAAACATCTTTATAGCAAATAAACAAAATTATGAGTGTTAAACAGCAGTGGAGAGGATGGAGACGTCTGTTTTATAAACAACAAATATTATAGTACTTTATTACAGTGCTTAACAAGCCTCCTCTGTGTGTGTCCACAGTAACGGTTACCCTCAGCCCGACAACCGTGAGGACGGGAAGGAGTTCTGTCTGGCTGTGCTCAACAACTTCTACCAAGACGGCATCAGATGGCACGATGTCGCCTGCCACCATGAGAAGCCTATCATCTGTGAGCGACCCCGCCGAGGTGGCAGCTACCACTAAGATAGACACTACCACTGAGCTACGCCACTTCTGACATCTGTGAGTGATGCTGTGACAGTCACTCTTCCTGCTTCTGTTCTGGAATTGATCTTAATCTGGAAACTTATGTATCGATGACTACTTCAAAACTTATCTCAAAAATATCCCAATAAAGCAAATAAATTTAAAAGAGATTTTATCCTCCTCTGTGTTTGGCTATAACTTTAATATCATGAAGATGTCCACAGTTATGACAGCGAACCCTCGGGAAATTGACCGTAACCAGTAGAACATTTTACTCTTTTCCGTTATTAAAGTTATTTTTCCCTTGCACTTTCCATACAAACATTAAAAAAGCCATACAAACAATATATGATTTAGTTTGGGTCACCAATTTTTAATTCCACGAATAGTCAATGTTTCAAGTCTCAAGTGGACATGAGAAAAGGTATTTAGTCACGGTAGCGGAGAAAAAACTCCTCTGGTTATTTCATATGCCTGAGGAAGTTCAGTTTAAACCACAAAAGAAAATCTGTTTTCCATTATCTTTTAAGTTATTTTCAGAACTCATAAACGAGAAAAATTCAATGCAAAGGCAATTCTACTTAAGAGTGATTTCAATGAATAGATATTTATAAAAAGGACATTAATCTTGTTTTGTTTGAGATTAATGAAACATATCGACATACAGAAAACGGTGATCAATGGAACAATAAACAGGTTTAGAGAATATTACTTTTTTCGGTGATGCGAAAAAATTCTCGGCATTATATAGGAAAGGGAAAACAAAATTGGTTAGGTTCAAGTGTTATGAATTTTGAACACAGATTGATAGTGCTCAACTGTTGGGAACTTTTTAGTAGCGCTAATGTTCTTCACCGAAGTAAATCTCGCTATGGTTTATATTAGAGAAGCTATATTTTGTTCATATAAAATTTAAAGGAATTTATGCCATTAATGATAAACGCACCGCCGAGAAATACTGTAATCTGGATCAGAAGACCCGTTATCATCGTTCTTTATAAACAGACGTGTGTAAAACAGGCAAGTCACCAGCTTCTTAAGGCTAAGGCATTGTTCCCCACCCCTGATCTTCTCAAGGGTCGCTCTTGTCATCGGGGAGGGACGGGTTTTATTTGAAATTCCATTATGTTACACTACTTGTAAGACCTTCCATGATATCTATTAATATTGGTTGCTTATATCTGAAGCAATTATTGGCATTAGCGATTTATTTTCCCAATTAAAAACAATTAATGTCGATACATTTGCATTGACGAAATAATGAATATGACACCAAAGCCACACGCATACCTGTATATATATATATATATATATATATATAAATATATATATATATATATATATATATATATATATATATATATATATATATATATATATATATATATATATATATATATATATATGCGCAAGTAAATCACTGTAGGTGCGCGTGATCTAGGTATATGCTGATAACCACAAGGAAAGAAGAAAACACGAAGTTCCCAAGCGCTTTGGTGTAATTCACATCTTCAGGGGTGAGTACAGACTTGAGAGAGAAATACAAATCAAGGTGTATATATACAGAGGAGGGTGAGACCAGGTCCACAATGGTCAGGTATTAGGTAATGACCCTACTAATCTTTAAATAGCACACAACGGTTGGTGGTCAGGTCAGATGGTCAGGTGACCCGGCCTTCTTACCTGGTCACAAATCTTCTTAATTACAAAATTGTCCAGCTTGTACATGCCGTTACTCAAATTCATGTTGAATGCTTCGGTATGTTTAATAAGACTAGATTCTATGATGTTCCTACTATAAATTGAATTACATGGTAATATTGAGGAGGCATTATCCCAGTCAATGCAATGCTTGTTATCCCTCAAATGAACAAACAGAGCATTGGATTCCTGGCCTGTCCTAACACTGTATTTGTGTTGTTTAATTCCAGTTGCAAGATCTTTACCTGTCTGGCCTAAGTAAAACATATTACATTCCTTGCAAGGAACTTTATAAATGCAACCAATTGTGTTGTTGGGGGAGTTCTTGATTAACATTTGTTTAACAGTGCATGAGTTTTTAAATGCCACATTGACGTTCCAGGTTTTTAGTTGTGAAGGAATGTGTGAGAAATTTTTGTGAAATGGTAATATTAAGATATTCTTATGGTCATGGGTGGGCTTGGGATCAGTTCTATAAAAAGTTTTCTTAGTAATGTTTAGGCATTTGTCTATGAAAGATCTAGGGTATTTAAGGTTTGAGCCAATATTATATATATATTTGTATTCCTCATCGATGAATTCCGGACTGCAAATTCTCAAGGCACGTAAAAACATTGTTGAAAATACTGACTGTTTGACTTTATTATGGTGGGCAGAATAATAATGAATGTATGAACACACATTAGTTGGTTTTCTATAAATACTGAACTTAAAAGTGTTACCTATTCTGTGTATCAGACAGTCTAGGAATGGCAATTTACAGTCTTGCTCTAATTCCACAGTGAATTTGATCGAGGGGGCTAAGTTGTTAAGTTGTGGCAGGAAAGCTTCTAGGTCCTCATTACATGGCCAGAGACATAATACATCATCAACATATCTAAACCAGACTGCTGAGGGTGGTAAAATATTACTGAATAGTTTCTTTTCAAAGAATTCCATATATAGGTTGCTTAATACAGGTGAGAGTGGATTACCCATTGCCATACCAAATTTTTGAGCATAATATTCTCCATTGAATTCGAATTTGCAATCCTTAATACATAGTTTGATGAGTTCGATGAAGTCGTCTTTCGAGACGGGCAGTGAAATATCATCCAGGGAATCTATGAGGAACTCTAGTAAATCATCAACTGGGACCTTTGTAAAGAGTGATGTTACATCAAAACTGACCAGTTTAAAATCATAATTAATGTGTAAGTTATTGAGTTTATCAACCAGATCCATATTATTCTTGATATTGGAGTTAGAAATGTTGCCAACTAGGGGATTTAGTAAAGAAACTAACCATTTAGATAGTTTATAAGGGATTGACCCAACTGAGCTAATGATGGGTCTTGCTGGGTTATTGGGCTTGTGGGTCTTGATTACACCGTACATGTATGGCAGTGGAGGGGACGTTGAAGTAAGATGTTTAATGAGAGTAGCTTTGCCTCTCAATAGGGACTTCAGTTTTTTGTTGAACTGGGTGTTGACAGTGTTGAGAGGATTATTTATGAGTTTAGAATATGTTGTAGTATCACATAAAAGGTCATTCATTTTAGAGATATAGTCATCTTTGTTTAAAATCACTACTGTGTTGGCTTTATCTGCTTTAGTGACGTGTAGATCCTTATTTTTCTTAAGGGCTTGGATTGCTTTGGTGAATCTTTCTGGACAGTTTGGAACACAAGGCTTGGACATAGATGCATACACAACACCTTTACACATGTTCACTTCTTCACTTGTCAAATTACTGAATTTCTCCAAATTGCAAAATGCTCTGGCTATGTCAACACTGTCGACTCCCTTGTTAGAACCATCAAAACTTAAACCATAGCCGAGGGCACACAAGGTATCATTGTCTAGTTGTTTAGAGGAGAGATTCACTACACAGTTGTTATTGGCATCCTTAGTCCAATCACTATTTCTAATAAGGAGTGCCAATTTGTGGTCTATCTTAGCTTGAAGATCAGAACGCTCACGTCTCAGGTTATCAAAACAGTAGTCCAACATGAACTTTTTCCAATAACTCGGTATGGTCATATTAAAAGCACGCTTTTTTTGTCTTACAATACGGAAGGCTTCATCCACTTCAATTTTCTTTATTTCAAAATGTTTCTAAAGGATGATTTCTTGGAACTCATCAAAGGGCGGTCAGACATCTTCAGGACACGTTGTGGGAGGATTGATCTAGGCATAACTTTTTCACTGAGGCATGTCTGGAGAAATTTCAAACGTATTTTCAATTGTGGGCCTTGATCATCGAAGAGGAGTATTCAGTAACGAAAGGAGACAGTCCAGGACAGCTTGTAGAGAGGGTGAAGAAGTGGCGCGTGGAATACCCGACCATTGTGGACCTGGTCTCACCCTCCTCTGTATATATACACCTTGATTTGTATTTCTCTCTCTAGTCTGTACTCACCCCTGAAGATGTGAATTACACGAATGCGCTTGGGACCTTCGTGTTTTCTTCTTTCCTTGTGGTTATCAGCATATATATATATATATATATATATATATATATATATATATATATATATATATATATATATATATATATATATATATATATATCTTGATAAAATCACACGGGAAAATGGAAACAACGGAGTACCTTAGCTTTCGTCTTTATTCAAGACATCTTCAGAGGCTTAATAATCCATTACGTCCTATCGTGAGTTCTGTGGGTTCTGTTACTTACAAATTATCCAAGTGGCTGGTAAAGATGATATCCCCTCTTACAGGCCAAATATCTAATTCACATATACGCAATAGCAGTGACTTAATTGATAAACTCAAGAAACACAACGAACCTTGCGAATTAATAAGTTTTGATGTAAATTCACTGTTCACTGGAGTACCTGTGAAAGACTTACTTTCATTTCTTAAAGATAAATTACAACTGCTAGATTTAACTATTGAACATGATACTTTCCTAAAATTGATAGAGTTATGCGTAACTGACAATGTGTTTAGAGCAAATGGGAAGTTCTACAAACAAATATTTGGCATGAGCATGGGTAATTGTCTTTCTGCTCCTCTAGCCTGTATTTATATGGAGTTTTTTGAGTCTAGATTACTACCCAATATAGTGGACTTTATTCCTCCATGGTATAGATATGTAGATGATGTTCTTTGTCTTTGGCCTAAAAACAGTGACCCTTTGGAATTTTTAGACAAGCTTAATAATATTGTCCCTAGTATCACATTCAAAATTGAAAGAGAAATAAATGAATCCCTTCCATTCCTTGATATGCTTATCATGAGAAATGGCCTAAACTATAAATTTAAGGTATATAGAAAGCCCACACAGGTAGACAGTTTCATTCACTTTTTATCCAATCACCTTGAGTCTACCAAAATGTCAGTTTTTTCTGCTATGTTCCTAAGATGTCTGCGTATTTGTGACTCTGAATTTATTGACGATGAATTGAAACACATTCGTGTTTGTTGATCAATGTTTTAAAAGGGCTAAAAAATCCTTTC